CCTGTCCGTGGGAGCGTCGTCCTTGTCAGAGGTGAGGATGCCGGAGTGCAGCCCTGTCCGTGGGAGCGTCGTCCCTGTCAGACGTGAGGATGCCCAAGCGCAGCAGAGACCTTCCTAGCCCTGTGAGCCTGGGCCCTGGGCTGCAGTGTGAGCCCCTCCCAGCCCCGGCTGCCCTCTGAGTTCCTGGGTGCTGCTTCTCGCTCAGGACCAGGGACAGCAGAGCGGATGAACTCCTGCTCCTTGGAAGGTTCCAGATGCCCAGGAGCATCCCAACAGCAGAAACTTGTGGGGTGAGTAGCCACGTCTCCTCCATCTGCCAGCACTGTGTGCACTCTCTCCCCGGGCCCTCAGCTGCACCCCCAAGCTTCAGTCTGCAGACTCGACCCATGGCACTGCACCCACCCTGCAGCCTGGCAGCACACCTGCCCCACGGTGAGTGTGGCTCCCGGGAGGCCTGTGGCCCCATGCCAGACCTCAGTGCTCTTGGGTGTCGTCCAGGGCCGGCTCGGACTGCTGAAGTTGGTGCTCCAGCTCTCTCCTCTTTGGGGGGCAAGTCACCCACCCCAGAGGGTGGATGGGGTTGGATTTAGTGTTTTATATGACCACACGATCATGTACACGCTTCAGTCTGTGCATGTTTGATGTATTTCCTAGTTTCCTTAATTGTTTCTCAAATACAGGAGCATTTTGCCTGCTTCTGTTGCACTCCGGTCAGGGGCCTGCGGCTCAGCTCCCGAGTAGCCTCCGTGCTCCCCTGCGGCCCCTCATCCCTGCTTTCTCTGACAAGGCCCCAGTCTCAGCTCCCGAGCAGCCTCCACACTCCCTCCCTGCACTCCCCTGTAGCCCCTTGTCCCTGCTTTCTCCGGCAAGGCCCAGTCTCAGCTCCCGAGCAGCCTCCATGCTCCCTCCCTGCCACCCCTCATCCCTGCTTTCTCTAGCAAGGCCCAGTCTCAGCCTGCTGGCCGTTCTCTTGCTTTAGCGGCTCGTTTCTCCTAACAGGCATTGGTGAGGATCGTGCTTCTTTATTTATTCAGGTGTATGTCCTCTTTTTCAGGCCGTTAGAGCAGCTCACCCCCACAACCCGAAATTCCTGCTGAAATACACACAAGGAGGAGCTTTTGAAACTGACAAGGAAAACTCCCTGTTTCCGAGTTCAAAGGAGGAACAGAGATTAAGGGAAAAATCCCTCTGGAAGGAGAAAGGAAATTTTGTTGGCTGGAACCAACATCCACGGGCAAGCTCCTCCCACGTTAAGGAGTAGGAGCCACGGCCCCACTGGCCGAAGCCTTGCAGCACTGCAGAGGGCCAAGAGCGGGGCACTTCCTTGTGGAAGGCACTGTCCCTGGGGGAGCGGTCAGGCTTGCAGCAGGAGATCGTGCACAGGGAGGTCTGGCCCGAGAGGCCCTGGGGAAGCAGTGAGAAAGTCCCCCTGATGATGAGCTAGAGCTGACTGCAGGGGTGGGTCTCTTGGTAATTCTCAGAGATTAGAGAAACCATAAGGGCAATGTTTCGAGAGTGGTCTCCCCACTCCCTGGTCTCCTGACTACCTACCCCTGGAGCGCAGCGCTAACAGAGAACCCGCAAAGACCCTTGTGCTGTGATGGATCACTTTTATATGGCCTTTCTAGCCATGGTCTTAGAACTCCCACCAAAAGATTGGATGAAACTATGCAAATAAGGTGCTTGTGGCCCAACAAATGGATTGGACAGCTTGCTAGTAATACAAGGTGCGTGGAACCCTTGGGGGGGGGCACCATGCAAATAAGGTGTATGGAACCCTGACGGGATTGGTCAGTTCTGCCATCCCTCTGGGCTTAAAAGAGTCAATTTCAGAGCAGAGAAGAATCTCAGTACTACCAAGAAAAAAAGGAGTTGGGAGCAGTGCACATCCTTTGGACCCAGAGTCCCTGCTCTAAGAACCTCCTAGACCCAGGAGACAACTGTAACATTGGGGATGGCAGGAAGCAGCAGAGAATCGGTGGCAGAAGGACCAGGAAACCAGCGAGAGACAGTGTAGTGGGCTTCCCGGCCCACAGAGCAAGGCGGTCACAGTGGATGTGCCAACCCGTGGGGCAAGAGAGCTGAGCACCTTCAGGCTGAGGCTTACTGGTGGAGTGGGGTGCCGCGAGCACTTACTGGCATAGCTAAAGAACTTTGTAACTCTTGCTCGAGCAGGGCACAGGCTGGGCTGAGCAGCCGAGGGCCAGAGAGGCCTGCCTATGGGCACAGCTGGGAAGAGGCTGTCCTGATGGAAGAATGCTATCCTGAGAGTTCAGAGCCTGAACTGTAACCTGGTAATTCCCTAATAAACCCCATGATCATGAGTATTGTCCGTGGCCATTGCAATGAATTACCGAACCCAGCAGAGAACTGGAGAGTGCCGTGGAGGGATGGCTCTGTCAGGATTGGTAAAAAGGTTGGAGAGAGGAGGCATGTCTGACCTCCGATTCATAGGAAACAGCTTTGGGCTGTTGATACTGATGATGCTTCTCCCTCCCCCCTATGAAGTTAGACAAGGAGGTCCAACACCCTGCGCCACTTTCAAAGCCCCCTCAGTGACCACGCCTCACTCCTGAGCACCCTGGAACCAGCTCTCAGGGCACCAGGTGTAGAGAAGCCAGTCAGCGCTCAGACTTGTCAGCATCCGAGAAAGGGAACAGGAGTGAAGTCCTTCCAGGGGACATGCCCAAGTGAGCACCAGGGTTCCAGGCCCGGGGAATGTGTTAAAGGGGCCTCGCGCCCATGCCCGCCAGGGTCCTGCTCAGACCTGATCCCTCCACAGGGCACTCGGAGCAGGGACCACACAAGCATGTGTCCCCACACCCCCTGTCCTGGCCCAGGATCCGTGGGAGAAGGTGGGGGCTGCTGCTGCTGGGGGAAGCAGCAACAAGGGCCCTGAGACCATGTGGGGAGGGTACCTGCCCCCAGGGGACCAGGTCTGGGCCCGTGGACTCAGCATCCCCGGGCAGGGCGAGCTCCACTTGGGCTGCCGCGTTGTCTTCCCCACAGCGGGGTAGGAGGTGAGGCCCCCACTGAAGGCGTCTGCTCTGACCACTGTGCTCACGTCTCCTGGGAGTTGTGGACACGTGGGCCTCTCCTGGGCTTCGGGCCACGCAGGACGCTGCACTTTATCTCTTGTCTCTTGTCTGTCCCGCTGTGGCCACTGAATCATGACCCCTTGTTCCCGCTGCGGCAGGCAGGAAGGGAGGCCGTCTCGCAGTCTGCTTTCCTGGCCAGGCTGGCCGACTGCTGGAGAGGCAGCCCTCCATCCAGGGGGCCCAGCCGGTCACTGCCCTCCACACAGCAGAGCGGGACCCCAGGGTGGGGCAACAGGGCAGAGGTGACTACACGGCCCTGTGCTCCAAGAGTGCAGCCTCATGTCCCAGTTCGCGGCCCAGGCTGGTGGCAGAGCACGGTGTTCCCTTTAGTGCCTTTACCAAGCGGTGCACGCATTCCACACACTTAAACGTCTGCTGTACTTCATACCAAAGATGAGAAAGGAGTGAAGACTACTGTCTTGAGTGTCTATTGCTGTACCCACTCCAGACTTAATGGGACAGCCCTTTGATTCTGTTACTGGGTTGTGTGGGTTCAGAGACGGGGTTGGGCCTCAGTCGGGAGTGCCCAGTGCCTGGGGCCTTGTCACTGACACGGCTGCTCTGAGCCACCTCGGAAATCACAGAGCGTCATCTGCCCTCCTCAAAGGGTCAGGGCAGTCACAGCCACCCAGAGTCTGGGGAGGGGACGTGGAGGCCTTTTAATGGGAAGAGAGTCAAAGAACTTGAGGCCATTTTTTTTAAAACTGCCCCAGTGATAAGTGCCAAAGCCAAGAGCACACCACAGATTCCGGAGTGGAGGGGGGAAGCAGCAGTGAAGATGGTGGGGTCCGAGGGCAGAGAGTGCCTACAGGGACCCCTCCTCCCACTCAGAAGGCCGTGACCCAGAACTTGGCCTCCTCAGAGTCAATATCATTAATACCATGACGAGGCCAGGGGCCGACTGTGGAAGAGACCATTAATTGCTCATGTGCAAATTCAAATTGAAGCTGAGGAAAATTAAATCAAGTCGATGAGAGCCAAAATATGACCTTGAATGCATCCCACCAGAATTCGGAGGCTACCTTGAGAATAGATTAGACTCACTGAACACTAACAACTGAAGACCAGGTAAGTTGTGGCATGACATGAGGGACATCATACGTGACGAAGGTGGAAAGGTCATTAACACAGGAAAGCAGGAAAAGAGCAAAATGGATGTCAGAAGAGACTGAAGCTTACTCTTAACACAGAGTAGCTAAAGCGAACAGAAGAAATGAGGAAGTAAAAGACATGAACAGAAGATTTCTAAGGGCAGCTCAAGGAGACAAGGTAAAGTATTACAATGAAATGTGCAAAGACCTACAGTTAGAAAACCAAAAGGGAAGAACATGCTCAGCATTTCTCAAGCCAAAAGAACTAAAGTGAAAACTTAAGCCTCAAGTTGCATTACTAAAGGATTCTATGGCCAAAAAATTGAATGATGCAGGAAGCATGAAAAGAAGACAAAAGGAATACACAGGGTTACTTTATCTAAAAGAATTGGTCGACATTCAGCCATTTCAGGAGGTAGCATATAATCAAGAACAGATGGTACTGAAGGCAGAAGTTCAAGCTGCACAGAAGGCATTGGCGAAAAGTAGGTCTCCAGGAAGTGATGGAATACCAACTGAGATGTTTCAACAAACGGATGCAGCACTGGTGGTGCTCGCTCATCTATGCTAAGAAATTTGGAAGAAAGCTACCTGGCCAACCAACTGGAATAGATCCATATTCATGTCCATTCCAAACAAAGGTGATCCAATGGAATGAGGAATTATAGAACAATATCATTAATATCACATGCAAGCAAAAATTTGCTGAAGATAATTCAAAAATGGCTGCAGCAGTACATCAACAGGGAACTGCTAGAAAGTCAAGCCGGATTCAGAAGGTGATGTAGAACGAGGGATACCGTTGCTGATGTCAGAGGGATCTTGGCTGAAAGCAGAGAATATCAGAAAGATGGTAACCTGTGTTTTATTGACTACACAAAGGCATTCAACTGTGTGGATCATAACAAATTATGGATAAGATTGGGAAGAATGGGAATTCCAGAACACTTAATTGTGCTCATGCAGAACCTGTACATAGACCAAGAGGCAGTCGTTGGAACAGAACAAGGGGATACTGCATGGTTCAGTACTGGAAAAGGTGTGCAGCAGGGTTGTATCCTTTCACCTTATTCAATATATATGTTGAGCAAAGAATCTGAGAAGCTGGACTATATAAAGAAGAACACAGCATCAGGATTGGGGGAAGGCTCATTAACAACCTACGTTATGCAGATCACATAACTCTGCTTGCCAAAAATGAAGACGACTCGAAGCATTTACTGATGAAGATCAAAGACTACAGCTTTCAGTACAGATTACATCTGAACATAAGATGAAAATTCTCACAACTGGGCCAATAAACAACATCATTATATTTGGAGAGAAATTGAGGTTGTTAAGGATTTCATTCTACCTGGATCAATAGTCAACACCCATGGAAGCAGCAGTCAAGAAATCAAATGATGTATTATTGCACTGGGAAGATCTGCCAAAGACCTCTTCAAAGTTCTAAAAAGCAAAAATGTCACTTTGATGACTAATGTGCACTGGACCCAAGCCATGGTCTCTTCAGTTGCCTCATATGCATGTGAAAGCTGGACAATGAAAAAGACAGAAGAACTGATGGATTTGAATAGATTTGAATAGCTTGATAGAGATTATGCAAGCTGAAGAACAGAAAGAGAAAAAGAATGAAAAAAAAAAAAACAGCCTCCGAGAAATGTGGGATACCTTTAAGCAGACCAACATTTGCATAATGGGAGTACCTGAAGGAAAGGAGAGGGCCCACACAGGAGAGAATCAAATCCCTGGACAGGCAACATCTCATGCCCGTCACCCCTCATCCAGCACCAGAAGAAACGGGGCAACTGCTGGTAAAGTTGAACTCTGTGGGGTACTCTGGCCTAGTTTGGAACTGACTCACTCCAGAATATAAACCCTTGAGGAAATTGGTTGTTTCTGACTCATACAGTGTCTAGCTCAGTGTCACGTATGCATAGGGAGTTGTGTGTCCTGTTGCTCGAAGGACTAGACAGATGATGGCTCCTATTTAACCATGATGAGTTGTTCCCCCTCCAGCAGCCCTAGGCTGATAAAAGGGAGTGTTACAGCTTGGCCCCGATTCCCCAACAAAGGATGGTGTGAATGAGGCAAACACCCAGCTTTGGTCCTCAGGCTCCTCACTCAGGGTGAAGCTCCTCTTTTAATTAGTAAACACACATTCCTATGGCACCTGACAGCTCACAGAGTGCTCACATGCATTAGTCCATGTACGTCTCACCAGAGGACGGCTTGTTTTCTCCAGACCAGTTAGGGACCTGGGTGTGCGTGGGGTTAGTGTCCTGTAGGAGCAGAAGCTGGTGTGGTGGCCACTCACAGGGGTCTTGTAGCACCACATGCCCTGCTCTGCCCATTTCACTCTGTTGTGAGACTTAAGCCCAGAAGAGAGCTAACTGGCTTCACCCCGGAACCTTGCTTCTCCTTATTAAAGAAATACCTCCCAGCAGATGGTGGGATGCAGGCAGAGTCATGACCATATCTGGCGATCAGAGCCCGTGCTCAGTGTCCAGGCACCCTGCTGCTTTCCAGTCCTCACCACTTCCCTTAGGAAGGCCCGAGAGAGGGGTCCCCGAGGCAGGACTTGGTTAGCAGAAGGTGGGCCGGGATCTGGGAGTTCTGCTGCCCCTGGGACGGGGACGCAGGGCTGGTGGGCCTTGGGGCGGCGCCTCTGCATGGGGCTGCTGGAGATGGGGGCCCGGGGGCAGGGCTGGAGACCACAGGGCCTCGGACGCAGCCAGCCGCCCAACCCGCCGCGGCTGCCAGCGAGAAGCGAGATCCTCCGGACGCCTAGAGCGGCCGAGAGCGGCCCAAAAATGCGCACGCGCCGCGACGTGCGGTGGGGGACGGGGGACGGGCACTTCCTGCCGGCGCGCGGAGGCCGCCTCGGGGCTCGGAAGGTGAGTGGGCCCTGGCGGCGGCTCCGGGCGGTGCGGCCGTGCTGCTGCGGAGTGCCCAGCGGTCGCCCCTCGCCGTGACCTCGGGCTCTGGCTCCAGTTCTGCCGCTTCAGAGCGGAGAGGAGAGCTCTCGGGTGGCGGGAGCAGCGGGCCGCCGGGTCCTGCAGCCGTCGGCGCACCGGCCCTTTGCGATCGTGGGGTTTCCCTGTGCGGGGCGCCTAGGCAGGCCGCGCCTTCCCCACGCGCAGACCCCCAGGGACTGGACTTGTCGTTTCCCCCAGTTTGCAGATAGGAAACGGGCGCAGAGCCCCTGCCGGAGGTCACACGGCTTGTGTGGAGCCGCGGCCTCAGCCCGGGCGGCTGGTGCTCTCTGCAGCTCTGCGCCCTGCGATCGTGCCCTTCTCCACGGGCACAGCGCGCCCAGCTGGGACGAGGGGCCGGAGGAGTGCTCGCTCCCGACCCTGTGGCGCTGGTAACCCTCCCCCCTTGGGCTGTTGCAGCAGCGGGGCCGGAACCTGAGCTCCGGGCAAAGGTCTGCAGCTCTGAGCTGAAGGGGCTTCCACCCTCGGACCCCCACCTCCACTCAGACAGCGAGGATAAGGGTGAGCGTGCCCTTTTTTCCAGATGAGGAACCTGAGTCCCCAACAAGTTAACTTAAGATGTTACTTAGGTGGTTGGGGACCTGCACCCAGCTGTCACTCCTGCAGCCCCCTCCCGTCATGTGCCCACCACACCCGGCTGCCCATGACCCTGACTGTCACGAGGGCTGAGGTCAGCCCTCTTGGCTGACCCAGAGGCCCGGGGCACTGGCGGCCAGCTGTTGGGGCTGCCCCCTCCCTTTCTGGAAGCAGGTTTTGTGTACAGCGCTTATTTCCCGAAACTACTTGACTTTTCTCCATTCCCCCACCCCCTGGCCACCCCCCGAATAGGGAGTTCCTGCTTTATCACAATATAAAGGAAAAAGCGCGTCTCATACTGATCTCATGCTAGACAACCAAGGAAAAGAATCGGACCACAAATGAGCCCAGACGCTGTGGGCAGGGCCCTGTGTGTGGCGGGGGATCACAGGGCTGGCCCCTGAGGGCTGCCACTTCCCAGGAAGAGGCTTTTTCTCTGGGACCACTCCCTCTGCTGCTCAGGAAAGCCTCCTAAGTTGTAGCCTTGAGCCGTTGGTGCTCCACTGCCCACCCCCCCGGGCTGGGCCGGGGCTCTGGCCGCGGTGCGGAACGTTCTTCTGGACACATGGTCTTCAGTGTGGGCGAGGCCATGGTTGGGAGGATGTTCCAGATCCTGTGCGGGCCCGTGATTGCTCTTTCCCGGCAGCCACAGGTCACACCCACTCGTTACTGAGTAAACCAGGTACCCAGTGCCCAGATTGCCTTGTCCGGGTCCCCGTGGTCCCCAGGCTTCACCTGTCACCAGCTCTGGGCACCCTCGTTTCCCTGGTGAGCGAATGAGCCCGCTCACCTTGTGCTACTCAGGGCCTCCCATGGGGACTCTGGAAGCTGGCATGCCACCCCCACCTCCTCGGTCCCCTCATCCTGCTACGGCTTTCATTTTCCCCAGGTCCCAGGTGTGCGCACCTTCAGGAGGCCTCAGGGAAGATGGCGGCCCTAGGGGACCATCAGGAATCCCCTCCTGCCCTGCCCCCTGTCAGTTTCTCATCACCGGGGACACCTGGAGCCCACCACCACGAGGCCCTGCTTCACCTGCATGATCATCAACCTGGTACTCGCCCCTGCCGCCCACGCCCCCCCAGCCCCTGCCCCGTGCACCACCCTGGAGCTGTCCACCGTGACCCCTCGCCCCTGGGCACAAGCCGCTCCCCCCGGAGCCTTGGTCTCCGTGCTGGCAAAAGGGGAGTCTCCGGGCTTCTCGCCAGGCTGGCGTGGGCTGAGAAGCTGGGGGGCTTGCGGAGACGGCGCTGCCAGCGCTCAACACCCTGGGTGGCCACCTGGCAGGGTCTGGGGTGTCGAGTGTCGGAGTGGGCTGGCCTCGTGGAACCCCCAGCCCGTTCACTCTCAGGGCGTCTGTGCTGCATGTCCCCTGGGAGGCCTGGCCTCAGCCCCTCACGGCCAAGAACGCTGACACCTCTGACATGGTCCCTGGCCTGGCACACAAGCTGGTGACAGCAGGGACGAGGCCCAGCTGTCAGTCATGTTAAGGCGAGTCCTGGCACCTGCCTGTCTGTCCTAGAGCTGGTGCCAAGCCCTGAAGGGGAGGCCACGCAGGGCCAGGGTGCCGCCCTGGTGGGGAGTGGCCAGTGTTCCAGCAAGGTCCAGGCTCTGTCGGCACTGACGCGGGTGGTCTTGGCGAATCCTGGCAACAGCCTGTCAGTGGGCACCCACACGGGCCCGCCGCACAGAGGATGTGCACACCTCCCATCCACCTCGGTCTGCCTCTCGTCGACCTCCGCCCCTCCCGTCCACCTCAATCTGCCTCTCGTCGACCTCCGCCCCTCCCATCCACCTCAGTCTGCCTCTCGTCGACCTCTGCCCCTCCCGTCCACCCCGGTCTGCCTCTCGTCGACCTCCGCCCCTCCCGTCCACCTCAATCTGCCTCTCGTCGACCTCTGCCCCTCCCGTCCACCTCAATCTGCCTCTCGTCGACCTCTGCCCCTCCCGTCCACCCCGGTCTGCCTCTCGTCGACCTCTGCCCCTCCCGTCCACCTCGGTCCGCCTCTCGTCGACCTCTGCCCCTCCCGTCCACC